AATTATTTTATTTTGTTTTATTTTTTACAGACAGGGTCTTGCTCTGTCACCCATACTGGTACAGCGACACAATCACAGCTCACTGTAACCTCCAACTGCCGGGCTCAAGTGATCCTCCTGCCTCAGCCACCCAAGTAGCTGTGCCTACACACCCAGCTAATCTTTTTAATTTTTGTAGACATGGGGGTCTTGCTGTGTGAACCAGGCTGGTCTCCAACTCCTGCCTCAAGCAATCTTCCCACCTCAGCCTCCCAAAGTGCTGGGATTACAGGCATGAGCCACCATGCCTGGCCCCCATTATACATTTATTGATAAGGTTAGTAGATGGATGAGAAGAATAGAAACAATCTCTGGTTGAATAATATGCTGACTATTTTCTTCTAGATAGATGCAGTGGAGCCTAGTGGTGAGAGCACAGACCCCAGCAGGAGATGGATCTGGGTTTTAGGTTCAGTTTTTTGGCATGTTAATTATGAGGCTTGAAGAATAGTTATCCAAGCTTCAGTTGCTTCATCTGTAAAATAAGGACAAAAAGGCTTACATGACACATGGCAAGTAATAAACGTGGCAGAGGCAGGGTGTGGTGGCTCACGCCTGTAATCCCAGCACTTTGGGAGGCTGAGGTATAAGGATTATTTGAGGCCAGGAGTTCCAGACCAGCCTGAGCAACACAGTGAGACCCCATTTCTACAAAAAAAATTTAAAAATCAGCAGGGCGTGGTAGTGCACACGCCTGTAGTCCTAGTTACTCAGGAGGCTGAGGCAAGAGGGCTGCTTGAGCCCAGGAGTTAGAGGTTGCAGTGAGCTATGATCATACCACCACTGCGCTCCACCCTGGGAGACAGAGTGAGACTCTGTCTCAATAAATAAATAAATAGTTAAATAGATAAATGTGGTATCCCTCCCTTTTTCTTTTCATCATTCTCTTCAGTTGTGGTAATTATTAATACTTACATAGTCAACTCTCTCGCCACAGAAAAAACCAGCAGCGCAACTAGCTAAGCTTTGGATGGCCAGGGCACCAGGCTCCTCCATGGTGACTCTAGGTAGGAAGTGGCCCTGGGGTGTGCCATGATGCAGACAGAGAGCACAGAGGCAGGACTGGGCATGATAGTGTCAGTCCTAATCCTAGCAGATTCATGGGCATATAATCTAAAGTGTGACCAACAGAGTTTTGATTATAATTAGGTGTGTTCAGAGCAGTCCTGGTAAAAATATTCTCTGATTAGGAATATGTTCACCTAGACATAACCATCCTTACCCTAGTTAAATTTTTCTGTGAATAACCATTTGGTGTTGAATATATTTGTTTAAAGATAGTGTGCTATTCATATAACTTAAAAAATTCTAAAAAATATAAATACAAATACAAACTTTGATAAAGAAGAAAAAAGAATTGTAAGAATTTAAATACCCAAATAGTGTGAAAGTTTTTTTACTGAAAAAAAAAATCAGAGAGAAATCAGAATGCATGCTGCCTATATTTTACATGGTTGAGGTAGATTTGTTACTATTACATTCTAATAGGTACTTGTTGCAACTACAGCAAACAGACCCTGGAAGGAATCTGCCGGTTAAACAATAACATGTTAGTGCATTATGGAAGGGAACTTTTTCTTCTTACCTATTCAGTGCAAATGCATAATGAAACTTCACATGGGGATGGGAGGCCAAATCAAAGGTTGGCAGCTTTTCTAAAGTCTCTACCAGCTTCACGATAGAATCATAGTCCTTTCAAACAAAAGAATAGCATTAAACCATTAGGAGAAAGTTCTGACAATGTAATGCCTTTTTACAACCAGATATCTGAATCTGACAAGGGCATTGAAAAGAGAAGTTAGAATCCATAGAATACTTTGAAGAACCTAGAAGAAACTGCTATCATTTTTCTTCTAAGAAGTTTGGATTGTACAGATAAAAACATTAGAAATATTAGTTACCATGTTTGACAAAAGCCAAAAAAGTAAAAGAAACAAAATGCATCTAGCATGATAATGCTGTACTGTTTAAATACGAGTAGTTTATGTCTCCATAGAGCCAGACTCCTGACATGCAGTGTTCTAACAATTACTTCCAAGGAAACAGAAAATTACAAAGCCATGGAGCACTTGATTGAACTCCTGTTTATAAGTAGCAAAATGGTTTCATTTCATGTGAGTAAGCTACTCTAGCCATGGGATCCTAAGTGCCAAAGACTGTCACATACAAAAGTCTCTATTGTCCACAGGAAGTTTCCATGGACCTTAAAGGTTGGATGTGGGAATAAGAAACCAGAAGTCCCTTAAATTTTACTAGAAAAAACTAATAGCAAATCCCCAACTCAGAAAGGATTCTATTCTACTTGTCATATTTTTAAAATTCTAAGACATGTCAATAAAAAAGAGATAGCATGTTAGTGTGTTTTACATTACATATTTCAAAAGTTATTTTTCTAAGTAATCAATTACATATTTTTCACTTCTGGCCAGTTAGAGCCAGCACTATCAATTTCAAGCAACACAATTTTAAGGAGTAAAAGATATATTCAGAAAGCTCTAAAAATGTCTGCTATTTGCCAAAACAAAGCTTTCATTTATTGACTGACAGGTGTGCTCAAGGTTAACAAGAGAACAGAGTACCTACGGGTTAGCTCTGCAAGAAGATTTTTCTTTTCTTTTGGAGGAAAAATTCAGACCTTTACCCTACAAATCTTTCATGATCACTGATGGTTAACTCATGTGAATCTTTTTCATGCATCATAAAAATCATAGGATGGAAAGCTTAGGAAAGTCAATAAAAAATTACATGTAGTAACATGAGTTACTGATTAGTCAACTAAAATTTGAGGTTAACATTCCTTTATTCCTCTAATATGCTACATGACAAAGATTGCACTTTAAGCACCTTCTCACCTGGATATCTCTGTAGGAAAGTAACAGATTTATGACAATATCTGCTGTCAAGACTTCAATATTATCTACTCGCTGCCGAATTCTTGCCAATTCAGCTGCCAATTCTTTACCAGTGTATAAATTACGAGCTTTCCTGATATCGTTGAGTATAGATTCCCGGAAATACTGGCTGATAAAAAGAAAAAAAAAAAAAACACACATACATTTTCGAAGAGTTAACACTAGAAAGGATTTCGATGAAAAGCAATAATTTTATAAAGAAATAAAAGACACTTGCAGCATCAGTAGCTTTCAATTCATTCAAGATTCATAGACTGAACATTTCAAATATCTGGCATTATTAAGAAATTTAACACTGTGCCTTCAGAAATAATTAAAACTAAAGGTACTCCATATTAATGAATTTTCTTGCAGTATGCCACTTAAAATGTCAAAACTTTATTTTTCATTTTACTGTTTTTTCTTTTTTTTAAAATTTTATTTTTATGTAACATTTTATTGTTTTGAGTAGAAATTGTTGTAAATAACTTAGATGGGCCTGTGATTTGAACATAATATAACCTTAACTTTCTGATTCAGCATCGTTCTTTATAACATAAATGATTGTTCTTAACCAAAATATAGTACTGCTCTCAGCAATTTTTGCAGAGTTCTCACCCCTACTCTAAAAGTCTCTGGATATTTATCTGATAATGTTTCTGTACTTGCTTTATAGATTGTTAGCTATATCATTACCATAAAGTAGTCAGTAGTTTTGTGTGTGTGTGTGTTTGTTTTTGCTGGCATCAAGTTGTTGTTCTGTGAATAAAGTGAATTAAATGCACTACGTGGCATCTATTTTATCCACTTACAAGATAATATACAATGTTTTTCTAGGTTCTTTGCTGTACACTGATACCTAAAGAACATCTGATAAGATGCACAAATGGAAGTAGAATAACACTTCCTTATCATTACCAAACGGCATTATTAAACTTCACCTGGAACTTGCTTGTGCCACCTTCAAAAGTTGAATGAAACGATCCACAAGAGGTAAGCAGATGGGTCCCAGCAGCAGCTCGAAGTTGGGTTGCATGAGCTCTGTCAAGCCCTTCATGAAGCTGCTGTCACAGCAGTAGACCTTGTTGTGTGGAGTTATCATGTAAGGAACAAAGGTGTAGTTCCCAGTGCACATCTGCGGAGAGAGCAGACACCGGGAGCTGGGAGGCAGCCCGGAGACACCACACCCGGAGTCCCGCCTTATTTCTGTGACTCATTTTAAACAATATTCCGAATTTGAAGGGAAATAGAAAAACCTCATTTCTTATTTATGACCTATAAAAATGGAAATTTCCAATTTCTTTAATTAGTTACTTCAAATACTTTGGACTTACAGATGATACCAAAAATGTGTGGAACAGTTTCTAGCAATCAATTAAATATTTATTCACCATCTTTGAAGGCTACGGCACGATGATATACACTGTGGGAAAAACATGGTAGTTTAAAGCACAGCCTTCAGACTTCAGGGAGCTTGTGATTTAGTCAGAGAGACGCTGCGTAAACACGTGGCAACGCGAGGAGCGAGCATTTAGGCAGCTTCCTGTGGGCAAGGCAACGCTGCAGGCAGCCAGCTCAAAGCTGCTCCCTCAGGGCCTCTCTCTCAGCTGATGGCCCCACTAGTCTCCCAGGGACTAAAACCAGACGCCCAGAAGTTAACCTTGATACTTGCATGCCCCTCCCCTCCTATCTTCTATGCTGTGTATTCTGCCTCCAAAATATATCTCACGCCTGTCCATTTCCCTGCATCTTCTCCACCAGCACCTTAGTCCACGCACCAGTGTACCTAGTCTAGCCACTGTCATCGGTTTTAACCGGTCCCCTAGCTCCCACTCTGGCCTTCCCGTCTCCTCTCTGCCCAGCTCTCTTTTAACACCCTACCTCGGGTCACTTCTCGTAGCTGCTTAAAGCCCTACGCCTTCCTCTTGCAGGAAGAGGAAGCTGCAATGTGGTCCGCCAGGGCCTGACTGTGCAATCCTGCCCCTCTAACCTCAGCCCTGCCCCTCTCCCCTCGCCCACTACCACCTGGGCTCACTGGCCTCTTCTCGGTTCCTACATGACACCAAATGAGGCTATGCTGGTGCACACAAAGGCAGAGTGGGAAGAAGGAAGGAGAAACCGGCTTGGACACCCCCGAGTAAGCAAATCTAAGCAGAGCTTAGGATGCAAAGTTGACTGGGAACTGAATGCAAAGCTAACAATGTTGAACTATATCTTCTGCACAATGGGGAATCACAGAAGGAATTCACAGTGGGAAAGAAAACACAATCAAAGCCGTGCATGTTGGCAGTCTTGGCAGATAATACGATGGACTGAAAGAGAGAATTAAGATTTGAGATTAGGCAGGAAGCTACAAAGCATGACCAGATCAGCAGCAGTGGCAATAAAGAAACAGACACATATGCTTCATGTTAAGAAGAAAGAAGCAGGCCAAGCACTGTGCCTGACACCTGTAATCCCAGCACTTTGGGAGGCAGAAGCAGGAGGATAGCTTGAGGCCAGGAGTCTGAAACCAGCCTGGACAACAAGGCAAGACCCCGTATCTACAAAAAATAAAAAAAAAATAAGCCGGGCGTGATGCGTGCGCCTATAGTCCCAGCTACTTGGGAGGCTGAGGCTGAGGCTGAGGCGGGAGGATCATTCAAGGCTGCAGTGAGCTATGATCGTGCCACTGCTGTCCAGCCTGTGCAACACAGTGAGACCCTATCTCTAAAAAAAAGGAGAAAGCATCAGCTTGACCTGGTCACTATTTACACATATGGAGAAAGAGGAAGGAGTCAAAGGCGACTCCACAATCTTGAATGAGGCTGCCTATATTGAGTAGTATCATTACCAGAAAGCAAGAATGCAGGAAGCAAAACCAGAATAAGTTATTTACAAACACATTGCATTTTGAGACACTTGTTGTATTCAGGTGATGAATCACAAATAGAATCTGACTTCCAGTTAAAATGTGAAAAGAACTTCAAAAGGTTGGGATTTGATTTGAGGTGGGATAGGGTGAAATGTTCATTTTTAGAAAGGCTGGGATTTAAGGGGGGCAGGACACCTAATGTAAAAATGTCTAAAAGAGAGTTGGAAATAAGTGATTGGAAAGTAAAAGAGTTTCAAGCCTGGGAATTATTTGATATGGTTGAATCAAAGGAAATGGGAGAGACCTCTAAAAGAAAAAGCGTAGAGAAAGAAAAAAGCAGAGGGCTGAGAACCAGAACGAGAAATGTAGGAAACCCTGTTTATCGCTGTTATAGGAGCACAAGGAGTCCAGATTATCGTTCCCAGCCATATCAGTACGTGGAGAACAATCGGCACTTCTCTTACCCTTAGCACTAAACCAACACACACAAACGTGTATTGACCATGTGCATGTGCCAAGGTATAAACGGTCACGTCAGTGGGTCACAACCCACTGAAGAACGCGCTGCTGTCTCCATTTCACAGGTGAGGAGACAGGTAAGGCTTACGGGGTCACACAGCTGGTCTGTGACATGTTTGGCACTCCAGCCCAGGGACTCTTTCTCTAGCAGCCATGTCATTACGACTAAGGGACTATGCACCCTCCTGAGTGGCTTTTACAAGCTGGCACACCTGCTCTCTAACCTTCTGTCGCCTTCTGTGGGAACCCTGCATGAGCCAAGTGACTACGCATAGCAACAGACAAGAAGTGCCAAATGCCCTTACGGTCAGACTTAATTACTTATGAACATACTATGCTCTGAGGCTACTTGTTGTACGTCAGGTAATGAAGCAGAAACCAAGCCCGACTTCCAGTTAAAGTATGAGAGGAGCTTCCAGAGGTTGAGATTTTATTTTTAAATCAAGTACACCGTCTCAAGTTCTCCTTCATGAGACAATTACTGGAGGACTCATCAGGAAGAAGAAAAATGAACATGTCCTGCTTCTAAAATGTTACCAAGATCCCATAGCATGTCCACCCCATTTAATCCTTTTGCCCAAGCCACTGCGTAAGCAGAAAAGAAAGGCAAGGATACCAAAGAGGTAACTTTCCAAAGCTTCTAGAGCTTAAACTATGAGTGAGTTCTAGAAGAACAACAGAATCAAATACTCCTATATTAGATAAGCGCCATAACTAAAAATGACTAAGAAAATGCCCTGAATCTTGTACGTCACAAAATGAGAACAAATAGATGAAAAGCCAATAAACCAGAAAAGTGCTACCAGAGTTTTAGACTATTATTCTTTTGTT